ATAGTTATATCACTTTGGATATAACATGAAAGGACAGACTCACTCAAGAAGACAAACATGCTGAGAAAAAATGAAGACACCAGGAAAAGACTGAACATGAAGTAGGTTCATTCAGTAAAGAAAGTGATGGTCTGTGCTTCGCAAGACCAGAGCAGGGCTGTTAATTCAAAAGTTGACCATATGTCTGAAGTTACTTGACAACACATAACATTTATTTATATATATAAATCTAGTCTTGTGACCACTCAACATTTCCTCTTGATTAATTTTAAGTTTTCTTGCACTAGTTTTTTAAGATGAGGCCTGTCTGAGTCAGCTAAATTCAGACCTAGAAAACACAACTGTTACTACAAGACCTCTATTCAGACATTATCAAATCATACACTTCAAAATGCTGTATGCAACACATACTATACCTGACACTGCCCTCAGTTCCATCTCTCCCTGTATGTGGGTGGTGAATCTGAAAAGGACAACTTTCTATATCCATGGATCTCTCACCGTACCATTGTGTCTAAGTTATGGCAACCCTTCTTGGGGTCTCCTAGGTGTAGTGTATTTAGAAGTGGTTTGCTGTCCCCCTTTTCTGGATGTGGTCTGGGACTGTGAAACTTGCCCAAGGCCACACCCTAGAGAACCTTGATTTATCAGAGTTCTAATTAATGTGCAAAGCCCCCTAGATACAGGAGGTCCTCACCTATAGGTTTGCTATCCTTCACATGTAGAGGGTGATAAAAACAAGAGAGGGCACAGGAGGCTGAAGTACTTTCTCCATACATGTTGCTGTAGATATTTTAATGGTACCTGAGCTATGGTTACTTTCTCTTCAAAATAAAAATCTTTAACAGTGAAAGTTCTTCTCTTACAAAAAAGAGAATTTAGATGAACAATTCATGTTACTGTTTTGGGAGTGTTTTTTAAAAAACAAACTCTAACCTGTTTTTTTTTTAATTAAATCATGAGGAATCTAACAACCAAAAAACAGAATTTGGTGCTTTCTCTGTATCAGTTCAGAGACTCTGCCAAATGACTTTTTGCACATGTGGTTTATTTAGGTGAGCGTCACAACACGTACATGGAAGTCCCTAAAACCAGGTTAGAAGATTTCTTGATCTAGTCCAGGATTGCCTACTCTAGCAGAGCCTCTGCAGGCCTCTCCTTTTAATTGGGGATTTCAGAACTTGAAACTGGGATGTTTTGCATGCAGGTTGAGTAAGCTGTGGTTTTCCTACCAAGAAAGGGTGACTCTTAGGAGCAGGAACGTTAATATCTGTGTCATTACTTGTTCCCAAGAACTGCCATAAACATTCTGGGGTATGACTGTTTATCTGATTGATACACCACTAGATCAAAGCTGTGAGCAAGCAAGTTGATGGTCTAAGTTTAGTACCTATTTTTATTATGTTTGCTGCCTGCGTTGCAATTCAAAAAGGTAAATTCCACTAACTTCAAGGACATTCACAGTGGCCATCATTCAAGTGGGCAGACTCACATGCTCTTTTCCTTCATATGGAATGGAAGTAACTTCATATACAGAATGTTACTTCCATTCCATATGAAGGAAACCAGCATGTGAGTCTGCCCACTTGAATGATGGCCACCATTTCATGGTCCTTGAAATTAATGGAATTTACCTTTTTGAATTGCAATGCAGGCAGCGAACATAATAAAAATAGGTACTAAAGGAAATACTGGAGAAAATCTAATGATTATTCAAATTCACATCAGAATGTACATCTGACCCTGGAAATCCATACTACCTGATTTTCAGTGGGATATACATAATTTTCAATGCTAATCCATGTTAAGGTACAATTAGTCAAATATAATTAAAATTTTAGTTTCAGAAGTGATCTTGTGGATCATAAAGTCCAAACTACTGTTTGATACATGAAGTATAAAATTAGAGTATCCATATCAGATGGTTGTCCAGACTGTATCCAAAGATATCTTATGATGGAGTCCACTTTCTAAAGTTAACTAGTTCCACTGTTGAACTGGTTCTAACATTATAAACTTCCTCCTGTTTGATCGAAATCTATCCACATGCTAACTTAAGGACATTAAATCTAGCCCTGCCCTTTGAGACAACGGAAAGTCAAGTCATTCTGTATAACAATCCTTATGATTATTTGAAAATGTATAACATATACTTCCTCGGTTTTCTATTCTTTAGACTAATCGTACCCAGTGTCTGCGACCTTTCCTCATAGAACTTGTTCTCCATACTTACAACCATCCTCACTGCCATCTACAAAACACACACTGATTTGTCTATTCTTCTTACACTGTTTTATTGAAAATTCAGCTAGATTTGGATCAGAGCAAGTGCCTTTCATTTAGCAAGAGAAACAAAAGAGCACAACTGGGTTTTAAATGATTTATGCATATACTACTGTGAGCTGGAATCATTGCAGGACCATTCCAGACAAAATGGATTGTAGAATGAATGAAGCATTGGTTATTATAATTAAATAAGCATTTTAACTATGCAACCTCATACCAATAATTGTCACAACAATTCTGATTAAAATAAATACCAAAACACCCTTCATTTTAATTTGGCAACCTGAAGCTGAAATATAGCTTGTAGAATCAGGATTTTGAAATAGGGTACAAGTACATCTCTTCATTCAGCCAATGATACAGGCCAGCATAAAGAATGAGAGTAAAATGTATGTCTTCTGCTGTGTTAACTTCACAAATATTTTCAAGCTATGTATATGCAAAATCCTCTTAGCCCACAGTTACAAAACGAAGACTCCTTAAAATGAAACTATTGCTTGCTTGCTTGACAATGACATACTGAATTGATATATGATAGGGGAGGGTGATTTAAATTCTCATATCCCTTTCCTAAAAAGCAATAGCTGCATTGTTGTTTAGTCATTAAGTCATGTCCGACTCTTTGTGACCCCATGGACGAGAGCACGCCAGTTTGCTCAAATTCATGTTGGTTGCTTTGATGACACTGTCCAGCCATCTCGTTCTCTGTCGTCCCCTTCTCCTCTTACCTTCACACTTTCCCAAGGGTCTTCTCTTCTCATCAGATGGCCAAAGTATTGGAGCCTCAGCTTCAGGATCTATCCTTCCAGTGAGCACGCAGGGTTGGTTTCCTTCAGAATTGATAGGTTTTTTCTCCTTGTAGTCCAGGGGACTCTCAAGAGTCTCCTCCAGCACCACAATTCAAAAGCATCCATTCTTCGGCACTCAGCCTTCTTTATGGTCCAGCTCTCACTTCCATATATCGCTACTGGAAAAACCATAGCTTTGACTATGCGGACCTTTGTTGGCAAGGTGATGTCTCTGCTTTTTAAGATGCTGTCTAGGTTCGTCATTGCTTTCCTCCCAAGAAGCAGGTGTCTTATAGTTGCATATTCCTCTATAATGTCTGCCTCACTGTCCTTATGTAAAACTGCATAGCTGACCAATCTTCTGAGAGAATTTAAGATTGCTATTTTCTGTGATAACTGGTTGTTAAATTGAGGTATTTGTACCATATTTGCCAGCGTATTAGATGACTTTTTGGCCCTGAAAAACATGCCTCCAAGTGGGGGGGTCATCTTGTACGCTGGGTGCATGTCCAGCAAATCCTCCCTCTCTCCCAGCGAAGTCACTTACCTGGTAGTAAGACCAAGTAGAGCCCCGCTCCTAGCCTGGGAACAGCCTGACCCTAGCGCCGAACAGCTGACTGTTGGGAACAGCAGAGAGGAGGCAGCCATTTTGAGATGCGACCACATGGCTGCTGCCTCTCAAAACAGCTGCTGCCTCTCTGCTGTTCCTTCTTCCAGCAAACCCTGGCTCTCTCCAAAAAGCAATCAAAAGGGGCAAAAGGAACTCTCCCCATGATGCAGCCAAAGCAGAATCACGCATGTGGAAGAGGGGATAGTCTTATACAGCAAGTATATAACAAACTCTACATTCTGAGTGGGAATGTTGGGGGGTGGTCTTATACGCCCAGTCGCCTTATACACCGGCAAATATGGTAAGTAGGGTTCCTTATGAACGTATGTGAATTCAGTCAAAAATATTCAATATCTTTTTTGTTACTGTATTCATTTTAACTTGCCCTATCCCATAGGCTGTGAATCATTATGGAACTGTGATGAAAATATGAAATGCTAAATCTGCTTCACCTTTCCATGGTTTCTTTAATTCTGCTTGTGAAAGACCTGTTTGTTTTAAAATCTCTCAGCACAGTTAGGATTGGGGTATAAGCATGGAGCAAGTATATACCAAAGAAAGTCAGATTGTGGGACAATTATATTCGATCACCTCAGTGTTTAAGGAGATAAGAATGTATACACTGGCAAGAAGTTAATCCAGAAATCCATTTGGAGATTCAACAGAGTGGCAGTACTTTGCTCTACACAAAACATCTTCTCTGGTTTAGATTCAATCCAAGGTACTTTGTAGTTACACAGAGTGATTTTAAGTTTCAGATCATCCTGTTAACCCCTCATCTAGTGCCAATAAATGTCAGAATAATGTTCTATAAGTTGCCAGCTCTGCTTCAGCATAGCAACCTTAGCTTCATAATTAAAATGAATTTTGCATTTCATGTTTCCTAATTTTTAGCTATTTTATAGATAGATGTATAGTTACATAAGTGATATACCGATGCATACTTTACTAGAGGCGCACTTTTAGGGAAATGAAATCACCAGTTAATTCCCAAACCACATTTCTTAGTTAAAATAAAGGTGTTAATCCTTCCTAACAAACAAGGACTGTGTATTCACCTTGTTATAAACAAGGACTGTTCTTTTGAGCTACAGTTTCTGTCTTGCATCAGAGTGATTATCTTGAAACTCATTTGATTGGAAGCTATTATTTGCAGCTTGTATTTACTTTGTGTTGATGCAAAGTGACCAGGAACTGAATCACAATAATCTTATCAGAGCTTGCACTTCTGAAGAAACTTATCAAGGACTTTCAAGAGCATATAGCGGATTTTGAATTTCTAATCCATTTTTAAAGATGCAATAAATCAGGAGGCCTTTAAGTATATGTTCTTTATGTAAAGTGTATAGAAGGCTTCTCATGCACTTTATGTCTATGAGACACACACAGCTGCTGACAGACATAACAGTAGAAATAATACAGTGCAAGCACAGGAAACCTGCTAATAACACTCACTCACTATTTGATTATTTTGTTATCCATCCAGCATTTTTAATTTGATTACCAAGTTACTTAGGAACATTATTGGACATAATGAGGAAAACAAGATGTACTATTTCCTCTCAGCTTGAAGTAAGAATAATGAAGGATATTCCTACATGAATAGATGCATCCCAAGTACTCACGATTCTTATTTTACATGGCTCTTCCACAGAGACCTAAACAACCTTTAATTGTAGTAAAGCATTACTTACAACACCAAATCTTACTGTATTAAATTTCAGTGGTATTACTTTATGAGACATTAGAGAACATCATCTGTCTACCTGCATTGTCTAATATTTTTAACAGCTGCTGGTCATTGCTGATTACCATACTTTAAAAAAACATACTTAACATTCACATTCTGGATTTATAAGTGAAACACCACTGTTTGTATTTCAGTTCAGAGGATGAGATATTCTTTGGGGTAGTTATCCCTCATGTTGAATATGCAGAATAGTGAATTATGGTATGAAAGTGTCTAGCAATTTGTTTTTATGCCAAGCACATTATTGATTTTTTAGAAAATTACTCAAAAAACCTGGAAGTTAAATATTGCGAGCTACACAAATTCTAAATTATAGGGACTTTCCACAGTACATTATACTAAGTCAACACATAGAAGATTTAACAGGCATAAATTCACAGTGCCTGCTTAAAAATTCAGCGTTTCTGACATCATCTTCCACCACTCCATTAGCTCCTCCTTCTCCTCTTCTTTCCTTTCAGACAGTGACTCCAGGTCAAAATCAACCTAGGCAACAGAAAGAATAATTTGTAAAAGTAAGCAAGCAAGAAACAATAACAACTGCACCTTGGACAAGGAGTTTCCTCTAACTCTTGATGATTTCACAACAGTGCAGTGGAACCAGATGGCGTGCCAGTTGGGTTGGATGCCTGTGCACGACTCTGCCTCTGCCATGAACCAGGACAACAGAGCACTGGACTAAGATGCCACTTGGGCTTCATGATCTTGGGAGCTATGGCAGATACAGACATACAGCTCATATAGGTTTTATTTCATTGTTATAGACTTCTGGATATTACAATTTTTCCAAGAAGCAATCAAAATGGTGAACAAGACAGAACAGACATAGTGGGTGCTTTGCATAATAAATATGTGAAGTGGCCTTATACAGTGTTGAAACATTGGTCCATCTGGTCTTGTGTTGTCTATTCCAGTGGTTCCTAAACTAGGGGTTCTAGATGTCCTAGGGCTACAATTCCCAGAAACTGTAGCTAGCACAGCCAATAGCAGAGCTTCTGGGAGTTGTAGTCCAAGAACATATGGGGTCCAGGTTTGAGAAATGTTGATGCATTCCTACTAGCAGTAGTTTTCCAAAGAGGTCATTCCAGACCTTCTTTTGTCAGGTCCTTTTAAGTAAAAACCTGGGGGACTAAAGTCAAGATCGTCTATGTACTATGTTCAGACCTACGCTCCCACTCCTTCTGTAAGACACATAGATTCTGTGTTTCCGGACCAAGTATATCTATAAGAGTCTTGACAGGCAAATGTTAGAGAGAACACCAAAGATTTGATCAAAAAAGCAGTGTGCTACACAAAACCAACAAAGATACTGGTTTATAATGCAAACTATGTAGTACTTACCCTAATGGCAGGACTGAAGGGAACAGCCACTTTTTTTGTTATTGCTAGATAACCTGGTGCTGAGGCAGTCACTTTATAATTTCCAGGTACAAGAAGCCTCCAGTAATCACCATCCTTAGCTGAGGAAAAAGAAATGCATTACCACTTCTTTAAAAAACCCAACCTTGATCAGGTGTGGGTAATCTTCCTGGAGATTGTTTCCTATCATTTAAAAACACCCAGTGTCCATCAACCTCTGGATAATCAGGTGCAAAATAGCTTCTGAGAAAGACCAAGTTGCAGACTGCTGGTTCTGGAGCTAGAGCTAATTACCTAAGTAGACCCATAAGCCTGATAAATGGGACCTACAGTTACAAGTACCTACTGCATCTAAATTATATCAAGGATTCAAAAAGTCTGATTTAGAAAAAAAAAAATCTTTAAAGAAGCTTTTTCTATTGTTAAACATTTGGATGTCAAGGGCTCTTGCCAAACTACTTCCCATCCTGTTTTAAACCTCAAAAATCTTGTGTTACATAAAAATCTAGGGTGAATCAATTGTCTTCATACAAATTCTTGGAAATTCTCAAAAACTTGAAAAAGGGTTGCCATAAGTCGGAATTGACTTGATGGCACCTTATTATTATATTCATAACCAAATATAGCACTTGATTACTGTGGGATCTACCTGTGACTAAATATTCATTGTCATGGATAGAGCATCTTACCAAGATAAAAATGCTAGCCCTTATTGCCTTACAGAGCTATATAAAGTTTTGGGAGGAGTTTTTAAAAAGCGATACTTTTAATTAGTTAATGTTAAAAGCACAGTGAAACCACACAAAAAACTGCTGCCAATTTACATTTTAAAAGAAGGAACCAATCCCATCTCTTTGGGGAGAGAATTCAACAATCAAGGGACTGCCACTAATCAAGCCTCCTCTCTTGATCATTCATCAACCCTTCCTAACTGATGGGTTATATGGAACAGAGCCCTGTAATATTAAGGGTACATGAGAAACCTGAAGTCTTATAGCATCTTTAAGTTTAACTAGATCGTATTAATCGTAAGCTTTTGTGTGTCCAAATGCACTTTTTCATATGAACAAAGTGGCTGCCCTTCCAGGGGCTGTTTAAAACTGTTGGCAGAGAAAGTGTGTCAGGAAGGACAACAATAGGGTGTGTGTGTCCTAGACTAACAAGTTTTAAACTCTCACCAGAGATGCCGCCACTCCATTCATCTGAAGAAGTGTGCTTGGACACATGAAAGTTTTGCCACTTAAAATAAAGAAAAGAAGAAAAAACTAACTCCAAACAAGATAGTTATCAACAAGAATGCAGAGTCAGGACAGATCCATGGGTAAATCAAAGTTCCAATTCTGGGAGTATTTAATAGACAGCAACACAAAAACCATGTGACTTGAACTGATAGAATAATATCCTGAGACAACTCTCGGATTATTTGGATAATGTATTCGCATCCTAAGTTTGTTTGCTGTCATTGAGATTCAAAGTGGATTGCACCTACCAATGTCTTTCTACTTGCAGAGGGGCTTTCAGTCCAGAAGAAACCCCACAGACTGAAATATGGAAGACTTTTTCTCTCTCTGCAAACTCTCCTGCCCTAAGTTCTCTGCTGCTCCTATTAAATTTGTTCAGGAGTTCCATTACTGGTGAGGCACTGGATCAAAAGCCCTCATACATCACTTTATTAAAAAATTTACATATGATACTCTTACCTGATGTAATGTCATGGTTTATCCCCTCCACAGAAATGGTGGCATTGGCAATGGGATTGCCTTGGAGATCTCTAACAAATCCCTTGACCCCTCGGTGTATCTGAAAGGCAAGAATTGTTTCTAAATCTCTTCTGTTTTTTAAATATTACATTAACCATGTAATCTTTTCAAACACTGATAATCAGGCCCCTATTCAAAACAGTGGGCATATCTGAGGAAACAGGTTCCATTTCAAAGGATTATATGACCAAACTCTGGGAGGCAGTGGAGGGCCTGGCTGCTCTGGTCCATGGGGTCAGGAAGAGTCAGACGACTTAACCACTAAACAACAATATGTTGGCTTATTAAGATGAGCTGTGAATCAGACTCATGTCTGATTTGTTTACAGCAGTATCTTGAACTATTGATCATCAAAAGTGATTGGTCCAGATGAGCATGGCAGCTAAAAAACAGTGATAAAGCCTTGAATGTTGAAAGAAGCAGATCTTATTTATCATAAGCTTTTGTGTGTCCAAATGCACTTCTCCACTTAGGGAGATGACTAATATAGTGCCATGAATTGTGAGGATTTCCCCTCAAGAGGTGCAGAGATTAACCAAGCTAATTTGCAAAATACATGCCTTGGAAACAGTTCCTGCTATGCACTCATTCAGCAGTTAAGGAGTTCCTTTTTGTAAGGAAACCTTTCCTATAATGTCTCTTTCTGTTTTCTGATTACTAGCAGGTAGTTGTTAGACCTCAGGAACAAAGAAGGGAAGTTTTCTAGCAGCAAAAGGAAACAATTATCCCAACCTAGGGTGTGAGAATTTGCTTGGTCTCAGAGGCCTGAATTGGCATAGACCTCAAAGGCTAGATAACATTTACCATTCCTATGTGAAGCCCTTCCCTTGAGATCATCAAGCCCTATTCACAATATCCATCCTACCTTTCTCTGTGCAGAGGATTGCAGAGCCCCATGCCTTTGTACAGAGAAAGAACATTCTCTGGCATTTGGAGGATCAGCTCCTCCAACATAGTGCACTGATCAGCTGAAGGAGCCTGGCTGGTGTTTACAGAAGATGTTTTTCCAGATGCTGACTTGAGTCCCAAGCCTGCTTCATTCTTTCTATGGTTTCCCCAATCAGAGAAGGTAAGGTAGGATAAGGTAGATTCAAATGTGATATTCAGGAGCACTTCTTAAAGACCATAGCCAAGTCCTCAGTCAGCTTCATCACTCCTATGTTCTGATCAGGAAAGAGAACAGCTAAGCTGACTACATCTCAGCCTGAAACCCTTGAAGTCACTTCTCCTGCCCAGCTTTCCCTTCTAGGAGTGGGACTTCGGGACTGGTCTTGCCTGGTTCCCAGTGGTGAATAGGCTAAATCTGGCTCACAAGCCACAGGTTCTATGCCTCTGAAATGCATGCTCTTTGATATACAAAACCTCAGTGTGGGGCTGGCAAGGGCTCAGCCTGCCAGCACTGGCTACCTTGCACATCAGTGCCCCTTCCTCAGACGACTCAGCAAGGATGTTCCCAACCCAATGCTCTTCAAGTGACTGGGTAGGCGACACAGCTGCAGAAAGAGCCTTTGGGGAGATAGGTTTGGCAATGGCAGGCGTGCTATGTAAGGAGGGGTAGATGGAGAGGAGGAGGATCTGTAGGTGGATGTTATGGACTGGGAAGCATGCCAGCCAAAGGAGGTAGCGACCTGCAACGCTCCCTTTAGGACTTTTCTGTTCAGCATTAATCAAATTCCACAACATATATTTATGACCACTCTGGGAAGTGACAATTCCTTGAATTTTTACCAATAACAGCTCTCAGAATGACAGCTTATAAACATACCCATTGCACAGAATATATTCAGACAATGAAATGCAATCTTACACAAACTTACTTGGCATTAAGAGCGATGAACTCAGTAGGTCTGACCTCAAGATAAACATGTACTGCCATATGTTTTTAGACTTGCAATACAGCCTTGGCCATGCTGAACATGAATTTCCTTTGCCAAGGTTTATCTACTGAATAAATCTTTGATGGACTCAGTTAACGTGTTTGGTGCAGGTTCAATGCATCCCATTAAGTATTACATTCTGAAATCCATGTGTGGGTAGATTACTATATTTTTGCTGTTTTGAAGGGAAATGTTTTCCTGCCATTTTTACCATGGTTAAAGTTTCATATAACTAGCTGGGTAGGTTAATGGTTTAGGTATCTGGCTGTGGAGCTAGAAGTTCAGAGTTCAATTCCCTACTGTGCCTGCTGCAAGTACAACCAGCCTGTGTGACCTTAAGCAAGCTGCACAGTCCCAGGGCACCCCTAGAAGAATACACGTCCAGGCCCAGAAAACCCTGAAAAGGGTCCTCATAAGTCAGAGTTGACTTGATGGCACATGACTTTAAAGTTTCATATATAATTTTAAAAAAATTATCTTTGGACACAAACCAGGAAATTGTGAGAAACAGCTACCACAAAGTGGATTTTTCCTCCAGAAATGACTGCATATACCAGCTTTCCCCAATGTGGTGCTTTCCAGGTGTCTTAAAACTACAAATCTTGTCATCTGTGCTTAATGGCCACACTCACTGGAGATCATGGGATTTGTAGTCCAAGAAATCTGCAGAACCTGTGTTCCTTGTGACTGAAAACCAAAACATTACTTTTACCTGCTCAATGTAACTGATCAGGGAATTCTTGTTGTCCTCCCAGTACTTTTTCAGAGTTTCTTCAGGAGGGAACTTTTCACAGCTAAGTTCCACAGTGATTTCAAAGCAGTTACTGCTGAGGTAGTTGAAGTCTTGCATACCTGCATTATAAGCATATTCACAGGCTGAAATCTGACAAGCACTAGGTTCTTTAGAATTAAAATGTGTATCCATGTAAAACCAGTACATTATATATTTCCCTCAATTTCTGCCAATGTTCACACATCCAAAAATATAGCACTTGAAAGACCATTTCAGGGAGAAAGTAAAGAAATCACCTTCTGATAGCCTGTAACTAACTCAGCAGGAAAAAATTGTCAAGTCTTGGCATAAAGCTCAGCTCTACTCTAAGGACAGAGTTGTGAGAATTTGTGGGGAAAGTGGGTTTTTAAAAATTTTTTCCATTGCACACCTCTGATGGTTGTCTTCTTTTTGTTTTTCCAGAATTTTGATTCAGTTTTTGCCTTCTACAGTTTGCCATATCCAGAGCACTGAACAATATTTTTAAAAGGAACTTGCTGTATTACTCATTATTCTTCACCAGTCAGGTTATCATTATTGTTACTGCTGTATTGCACATTATTAATTACCTGACTTGTCTTTACCAGCAGGCCAGGAAACCCAGTGACATACTCTGGATCCCTCTAGTAGCCAATTCTGATATTGCAAAAACACAAAACCAAAGAATTCTCCTGCCACTTCGTATTGGTAAGACAAGGACATAAAACCTCTAAAATTCCAGTCACAATGCCTTTAGAAATTAATTTCGGGAAGGGACTAGAAATGTTAGTTATTACAGCTAAAAAGTAATTCTGTAACTATATGTTATATTACTTTCCATGTATCACTGTAGGACTTCGCAAAGGCTTTCACGGCCGGGATCTAATGGTTGTTGTGGGTTTTTCAGGCTCTTTGGCCGTGTTCTGAAGATTGTCATTAGCTGGTCTTTTGTGTGTAGTGATCCCCTATCCTTGTGGGTTCATGTGCCTCAAAAATACAGCGTGCAAAAGGTCAATGAACTCTACCCAGCCACATGGACAGGGGATCAGTACACACAAAAGACCAGCTAATGACACCCATCAACCACAGGAACAGATAAACTCTTCTCCTTAGCACAACAATACACCCACAACAATACACACTAATCACCCATCTACAGAAAAAGACAAAAGCCTATCTCACAGCCATAAATACTGCACTCCCATGCCAACTACACCAGAGCACAGAGTGCTGTCCTCTGAAGATGCCGGCCACAGAGACTGGCAAAACGTTAGGAATAACAACCTTCAGAACACAAGCAAAGAGCCCGAAAAACCCACAACAACCACTGTAGGACTACTTGTTACAATTTTCTTTGCCCAAAACTAACCATTAAAGGTCACATATTTACCTATAACTAACTAGTTGCTTCCAAATTATGCCTATATTTAAATGTAATATATATACCATACGGTACAATTTTATTAACTATGCAACATTTTGTTTTTAATGATAAAGAAGTAAGTATTACATGTATTTTAAATTCCATCCCAACCCCAAATTTCAATCTATTTTGAAATGAAGGCAGAAAAGGAATACACTTTTTTTCACTGCTTAAATATTACTGGAAATGTTACATCTCTTCTTGGGCATGGTTTCCCCAACCACACAAAGTTTAATCTGGAAACAGCAGTTGAAGCAAACTGGGATAGAAATACAGGAAAATCACAGGCAATATTTATTTACCATTTGACTAAAGTATTTGTGCCACCCTTCTATTTACAAAACGTTCAAGCTAACAATTTCTTGGCCCAAAGTCAAATACATAATGTTCTGAAATGGTTAGCTTCATGCAACACATTTCCTGGCAGTCACAGCTCTGTGTAAAAATTGTACCAGATCCAATACTGCATCTGGTCTGTATATTCCATAGGGATATAACTTGGCCTGAAAAGTCAAGTTTCAGAAGCCAAAAACGGTTTCCAGGTGTAGTTCAATTATTTCCAGACGAAAAAGAAACACGTCATTATGTGTACAATAAAACATGTGAAAGACAGATAATAGCAAAGGCAATGAAGCTTTAAGAAATAATTGGAAACAGGGATTTCTTTCTAATTGTGTGACTCAAAAAACAAAGGCAGTGGGGTAGTGCTAATGATGTAGAGATTTTACAGTGATGGAGCCAATGTGAACATATATTTGACAGTCCAATTACCAGCCACATGTTGCTAAGACAATCAAAAGCACACGCTGACTAATGAAGTGAGGTGGGCTGAGGTGATAAATGAAGCAGGCTTCTGTGCATGCATCCTTTCCTGGCTCAAGTACGAAAGGGAACAGAATGTTCTGTGTGTTTATTTCACAGGGCTTGATTAGAACGCCTCATCTAGGGCAGCACCGATTACCTGACTGGTGAGGTGGAAGTCTGAATGCAGACCTTCTCTTACCTGAGAGTTAGAAACTGGGATGGGGGGATTTTTATATATATATTTAAAAAACCACTGGAATAATATTCCTCTAATACCCATGTCGAGGAGGAGGGGAAAGGTAATTAATCTTGCATTTTTACTATATTCTTTAAAAGAGACTACCAAAAATTTCATTTTACCTAAAAGATTGGTGCATCTGACAAAGTAAGCTGTAGCTCAAACATTATATACCATAATACACTTGCCAGTGAATAATGTGAATATTAAAGAGGATTATTTTCACAATAAAGACTCCACCAATTGTATACATTACTAGCACTTTTTGCTTCTTTGGAATAAAGTTTGAGAAAATTGTGAACCTTGTGATATAATTCACTATGAATATATTTTGCATAATGTTATCATAGATATAAAATACAAATTGGGCATTTTATCTTTTATTTACATTAACAAACCTTGATAATTCCATTATATGCCATGGCATTGACTGTGATATGTCTTGTTCCACTTTCTGTGTGGTAATCAGAGTACAAACCTCTATTTCCCATTATAAAACGCATGCCCTTAATGCTTATGAGGTACCAAACATTATGAAAAGAATTAAAAGGAATAAAATGGCATTATGTCCAGGCTAAAATTCCAGTGTGCATTAAAAGCGAAGACTACTAAGCTGTCCAGCACTGACTATCTTTAATAGGATCCAAAATGTCAATACTCAGGATTATATCCACTGAGTTTCAACACAGAGCAAGGTGTCAGGACAAGGTAATCTTCTTCAAGATGCTATTTCTGTGTTTATAGAGTATCAGATTATAGCCTTTAATCCTGCAACACTGGAGCTTTCATGGGAATAGGGACCAGCAATTTTCAGAGCTGTTTTGTATTTGCTAAACCTTAGTATCTGCACTACCATTTCTGCCCTTTGCTACCCACCCCGTATACTAGACCCATCCTGTATATCCAGTCTTCACTCGCATATTAGCCTTTGATACGTGGTGGTCTATCTATCTATCTATCTATCTATCTATCTATCTATCTATCTATCTATCTATCTATCTATCTATCTATCTATCTATCTATCTATCTATCTATCTATCTATCTATCTATCTATCTATCTATCTGTCTGTCTGTCTATCTGTCTGTCTGTCTGTCTGTCTGTCTGTCTGTCTGTCTGTCTGTCTGTCTGTCTGTCTGTCTGTCTCTTGACTGTCTAACACCCTTCATATTGGTTATTTTCTTATAGGCCATTTTAATGAATACAAGAGATAGGAAGGTAAGCAACAGTCAGCCTGTTCTGGCTCCCACAGATTGTTCAAGTGGTTAATCACATGAGGGCTACTTCTCCCATGAGGCTGAGCTAAGAGTTTCAGAAAACATATTAAATGCAAATACCTATGCAAATGTAGCAATGGAACAACAATGGATGCAACTGTGGAAACTGTGCACTATATGGTTTGCTAGTAGGAACATCAGCTGTTCAGTGGAGAATAGGGAAGGCCATCTTTATTGCTAATAACCGAAAGCAGTGAAGGCAGGAGATATCTTGCTGCACACCCTGCAAGTGAATTGTGGCTGCTTGGCTAGTAAGCATTTCTGATATCAGCACGTTCTGTCCACCCTGGGGACTTTCAGCTAGTTATGCACCAATTTCAGGGTGCTGACTGAGGCCAAAATGATATGACACAGAGAGCACACTGTTACCGTCTAAAATTTCTGCAGTGTTAACATCTAATTGTCACAGCATGAGGCTTCTCAACTCCAGTATCTTGCAAGATACTTTGTTTCTGATTAATCATTGGGAGATAAACACAGTTTCCATTTGTTAGTCGGAGTGGTCAGGCAATAAGCTTTACAGAGATCTTATTGACTTCTAATGTCATGCCACCTGTGTTTGATTTGACACAGAAATGCTCCTGCCTCCACTGCCACCTTCTAACTTTTACTGGTAAGGGTAGGCTTTGTCTCCCCACTTTATTGGGCTACAGCAGGCCAAGGAACTACCTCACCAGATGCAACTAAAAGGGAATGTGCAATTTTTTTCATGCATTATTTTATGCTTTCCAGGCGACGGCTGTGTCACTTATGTTTTCCATGTAACACTTAACACATATTAGCACTATAAAAATGTGTAGTAATAGGAACAGCACCTCCTGGAACACTGTACCAAGCACCTCCATTGGTTGTTCCATCTATGAAACTGCTATCATCATCATTCTTGCGGCACGGTGGCCTGTTTGAATCAGACATGGCTGGATTAAAGGATGAATAGCTTCGAGCTAAGCTTTGAAAAATAGCATCATCTGGGCAGGGACTATATTCATGAGCACTGCCTAAGGAGAAAAAAAAACAAAAGCATGTGAACATACAAGAAGAACAATTCAGAAGATCTGATTCTGTTATTTTTGCCAAAAATGCCTATGTTACTTCAATATTATGCCGAAAAAAAATATGTAGAATGACTGCATGCAAGTACATATCTGAGGTACTTTGGAGATCTGAAGCACATCCAGTCCATTTTCATAGTTTAATATAACTGTAGTGTTACATCGATACTACAATCTGAATTCTGAACTATAATTAATATTAACAATGGCTGAATGAAAAAAGATAGCAATATAAACCATAATTTGATATTGGCTTGTCTCAGTAAACTACTGAATAACCTTGGAGAGTCAAAACAGATGTCAAAATTTCCTGTCTACACTACAGATGGAAGCACAGAACCCTGAGGCACATGAACCTAATGCTAAACCACAGTTTATTGTTATGCCCAAATTATGCATTGTGCATTCTACTTCAAACAGATCATGACTAGAGATGGGGACAAAGTGCCACATGAACCACAACTCCCCCCCCCCGACGTGACCTGACAAACAACGAATTAATTCATCATTTGTCAGGTCTTTTTTTTTTCTTTCCCTCCTCTTGCTAAGCTGCGGGGCATAGGAGGGAAAGCAGGGATCAAAGCGATCCTGCAGCACTTTGATCCCTTTCCCCCTCCTTTTGCTAAGCCCCGTGGGGCTTAGCAAGAAGGGAGAAAGCAGAGATCAAAGTGATCCTACAGCGGCTGAATCTTTGATCCCTTCCCTCCTCCTCTTATGCTGCACAGGGTACCAAACCATCTCCCAGCCCCGGGGGTGGGATTCCCTTCAGGGAGGCTTTAGCAAGCCACCCAAAGGGAAAGCCCATCTCTGCTTATGCCCCTGAGGAACAGCTGATCCATGAGGACATAAGCAGATAGGGAACGAAGGGACGACTATAAAAGGGTTTTATTCATTGCTTTCTATTCATTGGGATCTCTGGACCCTAAGACTACAAAGCAGTGAATACCTGATGAATCAGGGATATTTAACGAATATCCTGATTTGTTTTTATATTTGTTCCTATGTCTAATCATGACTGGTGAGATTAGTACTTAAACACATTATTACTTAAATAAAATTATGACACATTCTATTTTCCTTTGGGGTTAATATATTATACGTACCGGTGCGGGTCTCATCATAGGGGTAATTTGCTACAAGGTCCCCACCGTGAAGATTGGCTGACAGCACAAAAGGAATATCCATAATCCAGTGAATCACACTTTTTGTTTCAGGTGCAAGCTGCAGAGAATTTTTATATATGCACATATATGGTTATACATATGTATATACAGTATTAAATCTAGCAAGTTAACACTGTAATAAGGACTACTGTTAACTTTATTTAAAGTAATATTTTAAATTAAGTACATCAACTTCTACAACTGGAAGGAAATCATTTGAAAATTAAATTAGAAAGGCCTACTTCACACATTGTATCTTTAAAGTATACCTATATTTTTCCTCATGTAATAAATTAATGCAGCATTCGGATTTTTGCAGATATCTTAAGATCTTTTATCCCCAGTGAATACAGTCTTAATGTCAAATTACTTTACAACAGAAGTCCCTTGTCCTTGCTCCCTTCCTGCCACTCAGCAAAAGTGAATGTGCATCAGAGATCCCAATCTCCCACGGAAGATCTAAGCAGCAGGAGGAGAAAATGCAAACTACAGAGAAAACTGCTGATCCACAGACAGCAATTCGGAACGAAAGAGGAAACAAGAGTCAGACAGTGCCAGGAGCCAGGAAGCTTGTGCAGTCTTTGCTGTGCACAAAGTCTGTTATCAGTCCAAAATGCACTGGTAATTTTTGTTAATTAAACGCAGGCACTTTGAGAACTCGGTTTCTGGTTTTGCTTGTTCAGCTTCCAGTACTCCTTCCCACCCCTCCACAACAAACTTTTTTGCCCACATGAGGCAGTGGTCAGCATATCCCAACAGGGAGAAAAAGTGCAAGGAAGAATGGATCTTCTGGCTTTCTTAAGAGAGAGACACACCACTGGTCCACCAATGTCAACGCTATTAATGCTAAAAAGTAGTGATTCTCTGGGATTTCAGGTGAAATTTCTTCCAGTCCTACCTGGAGTAGCCAGGGACTGGACATGTGGCATTTTGTGAGCAAAGCATGCAGCTTTATCACTAAGCTACTGCTCTTCTATTGTTCAATATCTCTGGCTTAGCTATTACAATTAATCTCATCTGCTTTCAGCATGAACTTTTCAGGCAGGACTCACAATATTACTTTTTCCTTGGTAATCTTTCTGAAGAATGGGGAAAGGCAATTTCCACCTCCCCTGCTTTGGCATTCTTGCATACACAGAGATACAACCACATTGAAATTGATTAATTTCAAAATATCTCCTTGCAACCCAATAGATATAAATTCATAATAAAAAATATGTGTGAATATGCTTCCATGTCAAACAAATGTTCCATTTAGTTGCAAATGGATATGTATTCACTCTTCAAGCAACCAGTTAGCAAAAGTGCTTGCTATGGATTATGAAACAGGAAACTTTTGAGATGGCCTATAACAACACAGATAAGGAATATGCCTGTCTCCCATATGTTTTAACATACAAATCTGTCCACCAGTTGAGGTTACCTAGTGAGAATTTGGCCCGTGTCACACCGGTTGCCAGTGATTTTTGACAAGGCCCTCTCCATAGCAGCACTCTCTCCCAGCAGGACTTGCTCCCTCTGAATGTTTGTTCCTCCTCAGGACATGTCAGGCATTTTGTTGGGGAGTTTAGACTTCTACATATTTTTGATGCATCTTGTCTTTAAGCAATTTTACACTGTTCCTGCTCCTTCACATTTATATTGCATGACTTTATATCTCGTTTTCAATTTGCATTTGAAGTTTTCTTATTGTATTTCTTATTTTGTTGTTGCTTGATGTTTATCTTTGAACTGTTACTATGTAAGATGGCTAAAAGGTGTCATTTTAAAAAGAAAAAAGTCACAAACAATTAATCCATTCTTGGTGTCCCTTTAATCTCTTAGTTTAAGAGAGGACTTTATGTTACAATGCCTTTCATAAGCATTCCAGGAAATGTACTGGCCAAAGAGATGGCAGCTCAGGAGAGCTTCATCACACTTTTCCATCCCTCCTAAATTTCATCAGAACTGTCCAATCCAGACAACAATGGCAAGAATATATCACACATTTGCATGGGTGTAAGAAGTCTGGCAGTGGAGAAGAGAAAATAAAGTTTAGGATAATGATGGCTATTTTTACCTTTGGATTCTGATCCACAGCTTTCTTCATGTTTTTCAGCAAGTGATTATTTGGACCGCCTTCTCTTTCATTGACATAGACTATTCTATCCAGATCAGGAAAATTTCGGTTTAGGTCTATGCCTTGTGCATTACTTCGGCCAACAAACCAATCTTTGAGTTCACCTGGCTAAAAAGAGAGCAAAATTAGAAAATATTATTAACCCATTATTTATTTTTTAATATATAATTTTATTTAGAAATTTTAAAAACTAAAACAAATAATAAACTTTAAAACACCTAACAAATAGAAATAAAGAGAAAAAAGACCCAAACTACATATGCAGCGCACTCCACCACCAGGACCATTAGGGAGTAATTGCTTCAGCAATTTACTCTTCTGGGGGCCTCTTCCCCTTCTAAAATGATATACACTCATATTTAACACTTTGCGTCTTCCCTTTTATCAATACAAAATCAATAAAATTTTCCCATATATCTGCAGACATATTTACTAGTTATTCCCTTCTTAACTTTTATACTGTGACTAACTGCTATATCCCAATCTTCTCTATATCAGCAGTCCCCAACCTTTTTGGAACCGTGGGCTGGCTGAGCTTCTGAGGAAGGCAGGATACCACCCCGCGCTTGTGCATGCACTCTCGGGCACAAGCACAAAGCAATGGAGGAGTGCACGTCAGTGCACCAGCACCAGTGTGAGCGCTCTCCCACCCCTTCATGCATGCGCAGGAGCACCTCCACACCCACCCATGCATCCGCCCAGCCCTTGGGCACTCAGGCACATGTGTGAAGGAGTTGGGGAGTACTCATGCCAGTGCTGGCACGCGCACGCAAAGCAGCTGTGGGGAGGGGAGTGCGTGGGTGTGTGTGGGAGGTTTGTCTCCGTGGCCTGGTCCAGCACTGGCACCGGGCCGCAGACCAGGGGTTGATGACCTCTGCTCTGTATTAATCACTTAATGATATATGGGAGCTGATTTCTAATTCCTAACAATAATCAGTCTTGCTGATTTCTAATTCCTAGCAATAATCAGTCTTGCTGCTGTTAACAGATTAGAAACTAGTTCAGTATATCACTTATTTATCTCCCTTTCAAACATTGATAAAAGAGCTGTTTTAGGACATAGATATTTAAATAACATTCCCCAGGCCCTTGACAGTTAAGATGATATTCTTTATTAACTATAACTGTTTACTTCCCTTTCTCCTTTCTGGTCTCAAACAGTGAAATAACCCCTAAAACATCAAACAAACCAAAAACTTCAATTCCCCAGTTGCATCCATACCCACAAATCTCTCTCCCTGCAAAAAAAACCAAACAAATAAACAAACAAAAAAACTCATTTCAGCCATTGTTTATTCTCAAACATCAAACAAACCAAAAACTTCAATTCCCCAATTGCACCCATACCCACAAATCTCCCTGCAAAAAAAACCAACCAAACCAAAAAAACACAAAAAAACAAAAAAAAACAACAACTCATTTCAGCCATTGTTTATTCTCAAACACAAGGGGGAGTTTCCATCCTGATTCCCATGCCAACCGGCAACCCAGTTACTCCCAAGTCATCATTTAAAAGCACAGCACAACTATCATGGTGATCCAGAGAAAAAGTCTGTGCATCTCTACTCTTTATGATCTGACAGCAGCATTAAATGACACACAGCATGCTGAAAACACCAGCCGATTATTTTTACTTACCAACATCTGATTGCCAAGGGTATAACAGCTCTTCAGGCTAATGAAAACATGTACAGTATATTAATTACTTAATACCTATGGCTGATGGGTTGGACCCAAACTTAGGCAATGGGATTTACTAACTTTTCCCACTGATTTCCATGTGTCTCCTGTGAGTGAGTACAGCTAGCCTGTGTGCTTCGGGTAGGCTGCACAGTCCCAGGATGCCCCCAGAAGAAGGGAAGGGTAAACCACTCCTGAGTATTTTCTACCTAGAAAACCTTGAGCAGAATCAGCATATGTCAGAATGAACTTGATAGTACATAAGAATTATTATTAATGGGATTTAAGTCAACCATTACTAACTTTTCCCACTGATTTCCATGTGTCTCCTGTGAGTGAGTACAGCTAGCCTGTGTGCTTCGGGTAGGCTGCACAGTCCCAGGATGCCCCCAGAAGAAGGGAAGGGTAAACCACTCCTGAGTATTTTCTACCTAGAAAACCCTGAAAAGGGCCATCATGAGTCAGAATTGACTCGACAGCATGCTATCATCATCACAGTCATCCTCCTCATCAAAACTAATATGAATCTAAGCATTACTTAAAGTAATGGATTTTTAAAAGGAGGAGCAGCAGATATTTTACTTCTTGCTTCTGCATATAATAGCAGAGTCGTATAATCAAATACCAATATCTAAGAAGCAAAGCTGGCCCACAGAGCGTAGAATAAACCTTTTCATTTGGGTTAATTCATCTTTAAATATAATATGCTTGGCCACTAGAGGGTGCTCCCACACTAATCATGACAGCAATTTCCTAGCATTTCACTTCAGTAATGATATGAAAACCTCCACTCTAAACAAGTGACTTTAAACAGATTCTAGCCCTACAAGCCATATATCTGCAAACAACCCCACACACCTAACATGGATGACAAAAATGGAAGGTGGTAAACTTGGAGGCTTCTACTGGCTCTCATCGGACCCACTGTAAATGGCTTTCCTCTAGAAAATAATCTGAAGATATATTCCACAGCTGGAGAAGTCTCAGGCTAATGAGTCTTCCAAGTGGGCAACTGTCTTCTCATAATTTGATAAACATATTCAGCAGACACATGGAACAACAAGCTCTCTGTTTTCTGAGAGCCAAACCATACATTAGAGATCACCCATCAAAGAAAAATAAAATCATGTTAACGTTTAAGGTACATAACTGAAGATAGTCTTTCATGCCTGGGAAACCAGACTTACAAAAGAAGAACATGTTTACAGCTTGGAAACAAAACATTGAATAAAACAAGTGAATTTGTGACTTGTGGGAGGTAAGATGGGCATGACAATCGCACACAATCAGCTCTTAAGCAATCTCTTCCTCTAATGACACAGTGGCTGATTTTTATGCAATTCATTAAAACATTAATCCATATAAGCCACCAAGCTTTTTCCCCCTGACCCTCCCTTGAAGGAAGATGAATAAAGGTGAGGGTTACCTGTGATGCTGCCTTCTCAAAGCCATCTGGATTCAGAGACGGTAGGATGTGGATGCGTGTGCTATGGATCAAGTTGATGATTGTTTCATTTCCCTTCTGATATTCATTGCAGAGGTACTGGGCCAAGAAAATGAGAAGCTCCCTTCCAACAGCTTCATTTCCATGCATGTTTCCAACATATTTAAATTCTGGCTCCCCTAGAGCACAAAGAAATATGTAAGATGTCAGATGTGTGGAGGTGCACAGGAGAAAAAAACATCAAAATTCAAAACAGAAAATACTTGTATCATGTTTACAAAGGTCATACAATGACTAGGGCTCTCTCTTATTCTCCCATTCAAAGGGAGGTGGGGTTTTGTTTTTTTTAAAATAGCCCCCCCATACACCCCTATTGCACCCCATTCCCAAGGTTCTGCAGAAGCAGATTTTGGAGGAGAAGGCGGAGCAATGGGCACAGAGACAACAGGGAGCTGGGAAAGCTATTTTCTGTACAGTATGTGGACTCTGTTCCATGAATTATTTTACATTCGTGTAACAAAAGCTAGTATAGAAGCCAGCATGTATCACATCACACTGACCTAGGGCAAACTGGTGCCCCGCTTGACAATTACCCAATTAGATGACGAAATCGCTCGACGATGAGTATTTTGCAATTGCTATAGTGATCGCAAAACGATGCTTGTATGGGGTTTTTTCACTTCACGACAATCGGTTCCCTGCTTTGGGAAGTGATTTTTTGCTTAACGACAATTTAAAAACAGCTGATTGGCGGCTCTCAAAATGGCTCCCCGCTGTTTTGCTGGCGTCATTTCGCAAGACAGGGAGTGGAAAATGGCCGCCCTATGGAGGATCTTCGCTGCACGATCAGGTATTTCCCCCACTGGAACACATTGACCGGTTTTCAATGCATTTCAATGGGGGTTTTTCCACTTGATGACAATTTTGCTGAACAGCAATTTTGCTGGAACACATCGTCGTTAAGCGGGGCACCACTGTACAGAGTACAAACTGAAGCTGAATGGACATAATAGTGTAAAAATGTGTAAGTATGCACTGCTTTGTTGTTTGTTTTATATGCAGTTTAGACACATTTAACTAGGCTAGTAGTAATGCAAGCAGATTTTCCTGCTCCCACCTCCACCACCTCCTCCTCCTCCTGACCAAAGTAGCATCCTCCAGATACTATACAAAAGGTTGGAGAACGCTCCTTAATGGTGGGTGACCTATGGTGCAGAGAGAAGGAGGTTTCCCTGAAAACTGAGATGAAGGCACCTTCATGAACTGTGGTATCTTCCATGTACTTTGTTTTTCTAAAATCTCCTATGGCTTTTTTAAAAAATAAAGTTACTTGGGAAGACAGTTGTTTTGTCTAAAGAAAGAGGTGTGTGTATTTGTGTGTTGCCTTAGTGCAGCAAGCAGGATTTTCAAATTCCATATGGAACATCTGTTTAAAATGTACATCTTCAGTCTTGGTGCTGAAAAATGCTTTTTGAGCTCTGGTCTCTTACTCCATAAAGTGTGTGTGCATGTTTTAAAAGAGTTGGATAGTACATATTTTCAATACTAAAGCATTATAGCACTGTACCAAAAAGTACTAGGAGTGGTGGTTTGTGCAGGGAGCGGGTGACCAGGCCATCCAAGACTAGAAACAGACACATGATTGCTCCTGCTTCTGATATATTTTTCGCATCTGGATCATGACGGGCCAATTTCATCCTGCTTGTAGGGCAGAAAATTTAGCTCCTTGCCCCCCTCCACAGGCAAAGGGGTGCCAGAGGTAAAATTTCGGCCCCCAAGCCCTTTATTCAATCATAATTTTGCAACACAAGGCAACATTAAACTATTTAAACGCCATACAGAAAAACACTATAATCGAACCACTGTGGCACAGTGGTCAAACTGCTATACTGCATGCCATACAGAAAAACACTGTAATCGAACCACTGAGCCCAGTGGCACAGTGGTCAAAATGCTGTACTGCAGCCAAGCCTCTGCTCACAATCTGAGTTCAATCCCAATGGGTTCGGGCAGCTAGCTTAAGGTTGACTCTGCCATCCATCCTTCCAAGGTAATTGGGAAGGGAGTGTTTTTTGCATAATTAAGGTACGTTGTAAACTGCCCAGAGAGTGCTCCAAGCACTATGGGGTGTTACATATGTGAAAACAATAAATAATAATCTACATGGGAATGGCCATATGCAACCATAAAATGTGTATAGAGAGAAAGCATTGTGCAGTGCCTAAAAGATTAATCTTGAATTTTTCCTCTGAATGAAACCACCAAGTAACCTTAGACAACCCCTTCCCTCAAAGCTTTCCACCTGTAATACAAGAGCTGAGGTAAGAGTTACAGCAACAGAACTTTATAGCTTGGAAACCTTAGAGACTGGCAAGGGGATTTTCTTACTTCTTGGATAACATTAAGTCTTCTGAACACTCTGAAGCAATGGAAGGGAACCCGTGGCCCTCCAAACTCCAGCACCTATCAACCTTGGACATGCTGAGTAAAAGGCTACATTTCTGAATAGAGTGGATTCAAACCACTGGAGAATTCACAGCATCTGAACAGACATAACTTCCAAGTATATACCGTATTTTTCGCTCCATGAGACACACTTTTTCTCCCCCAAATAGTGGGGGAGAAAGTATGTGCGTCTTATGAAGCAAATACAGTAAAAAAGGGTTCAGCCACCACCACCCGGAAGCTTCCCACTGCCATGCTGGAAGGCCTCTGAACTGGCACCAGAGGCTGCTTGCTGTGGCAGCCACATTGGACCTCACCATTCTGCCATCTGCACTGCTGGCTTTCCAGGATCTGCTTCCTGGAGCCCAGCTGGAAAACCAGCAGAGCCAACAGGCCTATAGCAGCAAATTTAAACGGTAGAATGCAATGAAAATAGCCAAGGAACAAAGGGAAAATAGTGATTCTAAAACGATTAGGGGAAACCATAAACACAGTCCCCTCATTACCACAAACTAGGCAGTTAATTTTCCCACATTTGGGGAAATCACAGGCATCAGCACATCCAAAGTGCAATAGATGAGCCTTACCCTGAGAAAACCACTTTTATCTCCCCTGCCAGGTATGAGTTGGAATGTCCCCTGCAACTCCTGCCCCTGTCTGTGCCCTGTCCCCCAAAGGCATGGTGACCCCTCAGCTGTACCTCCTGATCAGAACAGGGCTGCACAGCCACAGTCCTGCCAGAGGCCAAGAGAGCTCCTCAATGTTTTGGGTTG